GGGGCAAACCCAAACCCCAATCCAATTCCCCTTGGTTTTTTTTAAAAAAACAAATTTAATATATTTTTTTTTTTTTTTTTTTTTTTTTTTTTTTTTTAATTAATAATCTTCATCACAGATGAATCCGCTGAAAAAACACAATCACCTACTACATTTTCATCTGCTACAGTTAGAGACACTGTAAATTCAACTATTAATAAAACTATTGAAGTTGTCAAGGTATGCATATCTCTTGTGGTTATTATATCAGTGTCATAACCTACTATGTATAATGCTAAAATGATACGTTAATTATAGGGAACTTATGATAACATTGTAGGCAGCATTAAAAATACTGATGCAGACCAAAAATCTGAAGATAATTCGGGCAAAGTTAAAGTTGATAAATGAAAATTGTAAAAATTTTGAATCAATATTATTCCTTTCGAGAATGTATGCTCGCTATAAATTTAACGTAGTATCGATCTTGATATATATATATATATATTACCTGATTAACAGGCAGGGATATGTAATATAGTGTTAAATAATAGTAATAATCATAATAAAAATATGTGAATTTACTATAAAATTTCAAGCTCAATCCTTTTCTATTTAATATTAATTTTCTGTATTTTTAAATGTTGCAATGCAATAGTATAAAAAAAGTATAAAGATTGGGCTGTTGTCTAGTTCTATGGAAATCTAAAATCGTTAGTGCATGACTTACAACTAAATATACCTTTATTTCTTAGGCTTCTCGCTAGAGGTGTGACTATGGTGATTCGATCATATCCAGTAAAGGTAATTATTTTTGAATCCAGACCAAAATGTTATTTTTATAGATAAAATTGAATTATCGCATTAGTATTCTTATGTGCCCTACCTCGCATAATTTCGTCTTTAAATAACTTTTACAGACTAATAGAAGGGGCTTACTATCCGCGGTTATAAGAAGCCGCTTACCGTATTTTCGCGAAATAACGCCCATTTGCGCAATATTTTGAGTATATGCGCGTTATTTAGAGTATGCGCATGGGCGTTCTTTTGAGACAAAGATAAAATTTTCAAAACTTGTCTGTTATATCGAAATCATTGTTGAAGCCCTAATGTGAAATTCATTTTCAATTTTTTAATTTTAACAATAATTTTTATAATAATTTCTATATTTTTAATATTTCTATAAATTAAATATCTTGAAAAACTAATTCATCAATTTCACCATTCAATAATTTCAACAATTTAATAAAAACTTTTTATTAAGAAGGGTAATTTCACCCCATCTATAGGTGCGCGTCATTTCGGGACGTTCATGAGCGTTATTTAGAAACCATGAATTCTATTTTTAGGGGACATTGTTTTCTAAATAACACCCACACTTGTTATTTCGCGAAAATACGGTTGACTCACCTTTTTTGTTCTCATTGACTCATCTTTCAATAATCCTCGACCAATAAGCCTCATGCGCTACCAAGACTCCAAGAGTTTGTTTCTTGAGGCGCGATTTGTTATGTTCTCGGAAATGTCACTTTTAGCCCATGACACTATCCAACCTAGAGATGGGCAAATCGCGGTTTCTCCAAAAATCCCGCGCGGGATAGGATTACAAATCTGCTGGTTTCTTAATTTTTTTGTGTCTAATAAAAAAACTATGCAGAAATTTTTGTTAAAAGTCAATTTTCTTCGATGCAGTTCACATGCACTTTCCTTATAATGATTGCTCATAATTTGATCGGGCTAATGTAATCATTTAATATTATATGTATGATTTATTCTCCATAAATGAATACTCTTTCTTATCGTTACGCTTGTTTCTGAAATAAAGTTATGATTAGTACATAATTAGATCAAGCTCCAAATTAAGCAGTTAATTAAATATAAGCGCGAAATAACGCTCGTGGGCGTTATTTTGAAAACCAGGTGCTTAAAAATAACTTAAACGGTCTCGAATTAGCGCTCATGAGCGCCCCGAATTAACGTGATAGATATGTCGATACTCCATATGTGCACTCAATAAGTGCACTTTCCCTATAATGATAAGTGCTCATAATTTGATCGGGCTAATGTAATTATTTAATATTATTATATGGGCTAGGTGCTGCGAAAAGGGACGAAATTGACAATTTTTTCAAAGATGTTTTTTTACATAAATTAATTTAAAACAATATTAGGTTCATTTTTCACTTAAGACACAAAAGTAGGTGTGTTAATAGAATTTTGCAATATAGCTTCTTAAAGTTTGTATTTTCTTATGATTTATTAAAAGATTTACAACATAAAAATTGATTTTCCGAAGATCTCCTTTTTTGTCAATTTCGTCCCTTTTCGCACCTAGCCCATATATCGATATGTAGATTATTCTTCATAAATGAATAAGTAGCTGCGCAACATTTTCGTGCTAAATCAGGAACGGATGAATATAAGCTTAATTTAGAAAATGTTGACCAACTCAAATACAGAATAGTTTTGAATTCAGATAAATAAAAATATCGGGTATATAACTAAACACAGCATAACTATATTGACATGAGACACTACAATTTAAATAAACATTTGAAATTTCATAAGATTTTTAGATGTAAATAGTATAGAATGTAATATATATACATCTTTTAAAAACATAATAATTTTCTAATGCTAACCCTAATAATCGAACAGATAAAAATAGGGGTATTTCACACCCCATATCGGCTATACTAATCTGCATAATTAGAACCATTTTTGGCAGATATGCCAAATGAGCTCATAAAATACTTAGCGTTAGATCAATTAAACCAATAAATAATCACTAAATTTTAGAGAGATTAGCTAGCTACCGAGATTGTGCATAAAGTACTTGAAGCGATCCTTACTGTAATTTTCTAAAGATTCATATCGCAAAATGTGGATAATAAGTTTTAGCCAATCAGAACAAGTCTAAGGTGGTTTCAAACTTTTTTTTAATGAACCTACTTACCGGTTAAACTTTCCTAATATTACCAGGTTTACCAATATCACTAGTTTCACCAATGTCTCCAGTTTCACCAATTTGGCTATTAAGGTGCACCAGTTCACCAGTTTCACCTGGTGAAATTAATTAGTTTCACCTGCAACTCTAATTCGAATCCTAGCTTGGATTCGATTCGTACTTCGGATCGAATCCGAATCTTTAGAAATATTCGCCAGATTCTATCTGTGCGGAACATTACCACCAACAACCCTGCCCATGCCGCTATTTCGAGTATTTATGGTAAATATGTCAATGCAGGCCAGATATTATATTAATGCCGGCCAGATAATTTTATTTGGGGTCATATCAAAAATCCCGCGCGTGCCCATCTCTAATCCAACCCCATATAACATCGCACCTATTAACATGACATTATTTGACATAAATGTTATACGTACGAAGGTGCAAGAACAGACAGACATTGTATGGAATTAAATTATCTTTTATTAATTATTGTAAATAGATTTTATAGTACATATGTTTATATAAATGTATTATATTAAATAATATGCGTAATATTGTGTGTTTTTTTTTAAAAAAAAAAAAGTATATACAGTGGACGCTCTCTAGGTGTAGCTCGCCGGGAGTTAAAAATTCACTATAAGAAAAAAATTCTGCACTTAGAGAGAACCTGCATTTAAAGAGAATAAAATTTTAATATATAACTCTATATATCCCTATATCCCTATATTGAGGACCAAAATTGACTATGAATTTAGAGAGAATTTATTAAAATGCACTTTGGCTGTGCTTTTTATTTTGAAAGCATGATCCAAATTGACTCTGATGGTACACCATTATCTACAATGCCTAATAAATATGGACCAGGTGGTGCTATAGAACCATTAGCCGGAGCTGTCAAAGTTAATTTACTATCATCAGATGCTGTAATCTCAAGCAAAACTAATCTTTGACTCATATGTGTAGAATGACTAACGAAACCGGGATTATGTAATTTTGCGATAACCTTGTGAGTACCACTATATGCCTTATAATTAATTTCAAACGATTGACCATATATTAAACTATTAGGAGCTAGTGTAATCTCAGGTTGTGGAACACCAGTAAATAAATAAGGTGGACTGTATGTTTCAACACGAAATTCAGTTGGAAAAGGACCAACACTAGATGGTTTACTATTTGGATTTGACCCAGATACTAGTACTTGACCTGATGGAATAGATATAGCGATGGAGTGGTACATACGAGGAATGTAAGATGGTTGCATTATAGTAAATCTTGAACCAGAAGCAGCTTTAGGATTATAGAGGATAGGAGTGAGTACAGGATCACTGCACTTATTAAACCCGGCAGTACCATTATAACATCCGTTAAGAATCATAATATTAGCATCAGCTAATATTGTAATATCAGGCATTACACGACCAAAAGGCATTGATTCCATTTCCCAAGTAGGATTATTAGATAAAGGAGCAATACGTCCACAAGAAAAATCACCTTTAACGTCGTTGAGTTCAGTAGAATTATTAATATTAATACCACCACCACAAACAAGAACTTCAGGTTGATAATTATTGCTAAAATCTAATGGTAAAAGTGTACAAGCACCAGTCAATGGATAATTTCTTGAAGGACCAGGAATATCCGGTAAAGTAACTTTAATTTTCCAAGTAGTTGTATCCAAAATAATCGCTTTTTGATTCGCCAAAATGAAAAGGGAACCATCAGGTAAAAGATGGACACAAGGGTACAAATTGTAAGGTAAAGTTTCATTTAAAAATGGGAATGGAACAGTTGTTGTACCAGTAATAGAAGGAAAAGTTTCAAAACTTGCTTCATTTATTTTCTCACTATTAACATAAACACCTTTAACTGAACCACCAATGATAAATAAAGTACCATCGGACAACTGTTCAACAGTTGGATACCATCTCTTTGTAAGAAGAGTACCAGCATTTTTCCAATCACAAGTTCCATTATTACAAGAATTAAACATTCTTATTTGATTAAATCCTTGAGTAATGCCTTCTGTAGCATCAGCACCGGCTAAATTTATGACAGTCTAAAAGAAAAAAAAAACATCAATTAAATATTAAGTAAACTTTTTGAGTATAATAAATAATAGAATAAAATAAAATAAAATAAAAACTTACACCATTTGACAAATAAGAACCAGCAGAACAAAAAGTATTAGATAAAGTAGTTAAAGGTCTTATTTCATTTGTATCAAGATCATATTCTACAGAATAAGTAAGCTTTCCACTTATATTGACTCTTGTAGATAATTCTACTCTATCAATAAATAATATTTTGCTGGTCATAGGAGAAAGAACGGCGTGCATACTAGATACACCAGAATCACCTACAAGATCCCATTGACCATATTTTGCAATTTGACAATTTACATAACTTGTAGATAACCAAAGAAAAGTGGTCACAAAAGAATATACGTAAAAACGAAGTTTCATATTAATACTTAGAAGATGGAAGAAAAGATGTAAATTTTTTTTGAAAAATTGAATAAAAGAAAAATTAAAAATTCGAAAGGCTATTTAAAAGCTTTAGCTCATTTGAGATCTCATTTTCATAGTAAATTAATTTTAGGTATTAGTAGATTTTAAAATTTTAAAAATGGTAGATTTTTATTTCTTATTTAGATTAGTTGTACATAAAATAGAATTAAAATAAAGGACTATCCCAAAAAAGAAATGTTCTAGATTAAAAATAAATATCAGAAGTCACTAATAAATCTATCCGCTAAAAAAACAACAAAAACAACAAAAACAAAAATGCATAAACAAATAAGTAGAGAAATAGTAAAAAGGCATGGTGAAGGAGGTGCATAAACAAATACTTTAGCTTAGAGAAGTGACCAAAAAAAGTATATACAATACGATTGAAAATATTTATCGTAAGATACGATTAATATGAACTATCCCTAACAAATATCAAATATTGCACAGCATCTTCAAATTCACAAATCGGATAGTTTGTCCATATGAAGTATACAGAATTGTGGAATTGTTAACCATATCTGTTTCTCATGGGAACCACTATAATGATAGCAAGTCTTCTATTTATTTTAATGTTACTCAACCAAGTTACAATGATATATAGAGTGTCATGGGTTAATTTTGTGATGCCGCGATCGATTAGGGTTGCATCAACAGGAGGAAACGTTGAAGTTACACAACTGATTTTTCACATGGTGTGAAACACATAAAAAAATGATTTTACAATACTTGATCGGTCAGCTAGTACATGTTACGATTATAATCCAACATCATTTTTTTATAATAAAAAATGATGTTGGATTATAATCGTAA